AGTTAAGACGTGTTGTACATTTAGCGTTAATTACTTTATTGTGTTTTCGTCCCTACCTATAAGATGATTTGAGGTTCTTTATTCGGCTGGCGTCAATCGCTGTCGCCCTTTGCGTTCCTTAGCTCGCGCTGCGACTATAAGAGAGAGTATCTTCGATCTCACCACGTCTTTTGCTGTATTTCGTATCCGGCGTATACGAGGCGGGCGGTATGTTCGGAATTAGTGCGTTAATTCGTGCGGTCGTCGAGATCGCTCGAGAAACTTCTTCGCTTCGAATCTTTGTTGATTCGACTTTCGAGCAATGTCGACGTCGAGAGCGAGTGTTTGTGTGCCGATGACGACGGAAGTCTTTCGACACAGAAAAAGGGTCGTACTTGGTGTGTTACCCCCTGATTCGTCGCTCGTTGCTGGACCGATGTTATTGGCGAATCGCGTTATCGCTTCCAAAATAAAAGCCGCGAGCCGTTCGAGTTCGCGCGACGAAAGTCAGTACGAATCTGGAGAGCGACGGGTCGAGAGGGCTCCGTCGAAGCGTCCGAGCGAACCCGGCGCAAAAATAAATCGTCTTAATTGTCGTTAACGGGGGAACCAGATCGAAGGCTCTCGCCGCCGGCAACAATGATATATGCCGTTTCAGTGGTGGGGGGAGTGTACAGGCTTTCAAAAATAACATTGTCACAAAAGTGACAATGAAGTACTCGAGCGTGTCAGATATTAATAGTGTAAGCGACCCATGTGTTTCTGATAACGGATAAATATTAATCTAACGGTTTGCGTGGTGGGGGTTAGGTGTAGGAAGGGGTCAAAAAATCCATGTCACGTTTCTTTTGCAACTTTGTGACTCTCCCATTTCCTTACGTCATGCTGAAATCGTCAGATTATTGAAATGTACACTTTTCTACATGTAATTAACACACCATACCTTAATCTGACGCGTTCGAGTTAAATACTAATTTGACGAGCTCCCCTGGACCCCCGGCTCTATATAGACGTTTAATATGTGGTGAGGGTACTTATTAGGGTGCAAGCTTTCCCCCTTTATGTTATTCTGACGCGCTTGAGTAAATCCCAAAATCCCCGCTTGGCCTCCCCGTCATTATCGCTATCGCTGTCGCACGTGCAATCTGACGGTGATCTCCTCTCCGCGAAAATCGAGAAATCGTCCGCCCTGGTCGACGACGTGTATCGTTAGATCCGTAATGCTCCGTGCGGTGATCGGCAAGTAAATGATCTGCGCGGGCCTTTCCGATATCTTATATCCCGGTGGCACGCTCAGCGACCTCGTGTATAGTGTGGGCACCTTTGCCATTGCTGTACGCACCCGCGGTCACGTTACACTCTACGCGGATAACGTTTACGTTCATTATGTTGATCAACACGTTCGATTCGTGCCATTATCACGGTTGCAGTATACGCTTCGACGAGAATCCCAGCAGCGATCCAATGCTATTGAGCTTGCCAAAGTTTATTCTGTAGGCGCATCTAATCACATCTCATTGTGTTGTAGTTTGCGCGGATAGTTATTCCGCACCCTCGCCATCGTCGTCATCATCGGTGTTATAGTTGCTATTGTTGCTATTGTCACCATGCAAAAGCACTATGTCAATGGTTTCAAGCGCGTCGCGGTGTGTACGCAAAATCGCACGTTCCAAAAATTCATTTATGTCTCGTACTTCGTACGAACCTTCGGGAATTGTAATTTCTGCGTCATCTTTGTCAAAATAAAATTTATTGTTTGATTCGTTTACGTTCGGTATCGTGTGATAAGTCTCAAAAATCATCAGACCGAGCTCGTAATCACCGTCACTCAAATCTATGGCGGTGAAGTAGTTCGCCGCGAGGAGGCTGCTCTTCCCGCTCAGTGTAAGTGTCAACGACATGACGGGAAAAGCGTTCGACCAATATTGAGATTTCACGGCACCTCGTCGAGCTTTTTAAATTCACGAAAGTCGACCGTTCGTAGAAACCACAGGCACATCTGTCCGCAGAAGCTCTGATCGTACGTCTGATAGGACGTGCGATTGTACTCTATCGTCGTAGCACCGTTCCCGAAATATCGCACCAGTTCCTTGGGCGGTCGAAGATTACCAAAGCTGTCGAAATACACGATGCGGTTGTTTGTCTTCGCGTACGCTACCCAGTGAGTACCGGGTCCCGTCGCATCGTCCAGATTCACGATACCGCTTTCATTTCGACGCACGTCGCTCGTCGGTAACGCGTTACGCATAAAAACACCTCTAAAGTACGGTACGCGCATACGTCACGCGAGCACATCCAATTGCACGTTGGTAGTTGCACCCGAGGACATTTTTATCGTCTCTTTGACGTTTTTTTTTTTTTCACTGCTACGCCCTGTCCGCGTCCGTATTTGTGCGAGATACAGTCCGCGACCCTGTTCCATCGCGCGATCGTGACGTTGCAGCTCCTCGAGCTGACGTCGCGCGGCTTTGCTATCGTTTACCGCTTTCACCACACTGGCCGCTCCTCCAATCAAGGATCCGAACGCACCCAACATTGACAGAAACGGTAACGCACCGCCTCGTTTCGCTGTCGGTAGTATCCGTTTTTGCGCTATCTTTTTCGTTGTGTTTTTCCTCATCGTCTTCTTCGGTTTCATGCCCATGCCCATCTTGGTTTTGGTTTTCATCGCTGCCCAAACGGCAGCAGCGGCAGCTCTCTCGCTCAAAGCCGAATCTCTCGCGGTGACGCGTCTTAGCGCTTTATCGGCGAGTACCTTGTCCGCCGCATGTCTATCGGTGAGATCGTTGCTCCGAGAATACGCAATGTCGTGTTCTCGGCACGCCGCGTCCAGCGGATTTATATCCGCGTCACCTCTGGTTAATCGCTTCGTCAGCCGAGTGCCCGGACAGCAAAACTGGTAGCCCGGGATATGCAACTCGAAAGGTAGCGCATTTATCGCTCGATTCAACAGACTGCCGCCCGACGCTGACATTCGCTACAGTCCTTTATCTTCGGTGCTGGACCGTCGATATGCGTTCGCTGCCACGGTTGATTGTAGTGCTCGTCGCAGCGACGATACGTTCGAACCTCCGAATCCACCTTTAAGTGTCCCGGAAGCTTGTTCCATACGTAGTCAATGTAGTCACCGTACACTCGTAACAGTGCGACCTTCGATATATACTGCAACTGCTCGGCGCTCAAACCCAGAATATCGGAAGGATGATATAGCGCGAGATACATTTTATTACTGCGCGACTCGCGGATTCGCGCGCCTTTAAATAGGTGGTCGAGAGCGCACAGCCCGTAGTGTGAGCATGAAATTCGTATTGCAACCGCTGGCGTCACGAACTGCGACGCGAAATCGCGAATAATGGGAAGCGGCGTGGAGAAGCGCAAGCACGGCGAAATGCTGCCGAATACTATACGCGCGATCATATGCGGCCCGTCGAATTGCGGTAAAACCAACGTTCTCATAAGCTTACTTGAGAGTCCGAACGGCGTACGTTTCGAGAACGTGTACGTCTACTCGAAATCGTTGCAACAGCCAAAGTATCAATATCTCGAAAATTTGTTTACATCTATCGATGAAATCGGCTACTTTACGTTCTCCAACAATAGCGATGTCGTTCCACCGAGCGAGGCGCGTCCAAATTCTATTTTTATCTTTGATGACGTGGCATGCGACAAGCAGGATGCGGTGAGAGAATATTTTTCGATGGGCCGTCACGCGAACGTCGACTGCTTCTATCTCTGTCAGACGTACGCGAGGATACCTAAACATCTGATACACGACAACGCGAACCTGCTGATCCTGTTCAAACAGGATGGTACCAACTTGAAACATGTTTACAACGATCATGTGAATACGGACATGTCATATGACGAATTTTACGCGTTGTCCCGCGACTGTTGGCAACAAAAATATGGATTCGTAGTGATAGACAAAGACAGTGCGCTCAAAATGGACGATACAGAAAAGAATTTAACGAGTTCGCGATACCGCAACGCAATCAGTCGTCATCGATACTTAACCAGAGACAAACATGGCAGATGTGCGCGAGCGCGAAAAAATCGTGAGGGAGATCGAGAAGACGAGCGAGTCGATCTGCAAGAAACATCGCGCTCTGAAGACCGGTAGAATCGTGGAAGGCATCGCGTTGGATAGACATTTTAAACTTCCTATAGAGCCGTTGCGACTTTTCGCCGACAACCCCGGCGAGCGCGCGACAAAGAGAGAGTCGCGCGACGAAGATGTCTGCCCCTCAACGTGAGAGGAAGGAGGAGGAACAAAAGGAGGGAGAAGAAGCGAGCGAGACGTTCGAACCTTCCGCAACTCTGCATAAATCCAGTGATCGATCGCGCGAACCGATAACTTCCACCCCACGTGCCAAAATCGTATCGACGATAGAGTGATTGTAGAACGAAACGACGGAAGACTCGCTAGCGATGAAGGTTCAAAATCAGCTGCAAACATCGGAAGGTCGAGAGGCGTTACGAGCCAACTTGGGTCCGCAGGGTCAAAAGTACGTCGAGGCTGTCCTGCGGGAAGCGCAAGATAAAGAGAGCGGTATAGATCATGTGTACGGTGTTTACCTACACAAGAATGGATTGATGTTT